CCGCAAAACATCTAATTTTATACGCAAACATCTGATTTTATCCGCAAAACATCTAATTTTATACGCAAACATCTGATTTTATCCGCAAACATCTGCTTTTATCCGCAAACATCTGATTTTATCCGAAAACATCTGATTTTAACCGCAAACATCTGATTTTATCCGCAAACATCTGCATTTATCCGCAAATATCTGCTTTTATCCGCGAACATCTGCAAACATCTGCTTTAATTGCAAACCTCTGCTTTCATCCGCGTTCGGTTTGCCTCCTTTGTCTATTTCGGTCCTGTTTCGTACGCAAACGTCTGGTTTCATTCGCGCTTTTTGTTTTCCTTTTTCTCGTGTATACTTTAGTTTAGTTTACCTGCTTTGCCAAATTTTACTGAGCTTTAACTAACTGGTTGTTAGCCGTTCACGGCACACAACTTTATAACTCTAAAAGGAATTATTTGAATTCCTGTAAACGAAATAAGGAATTCCTGTAAAGGAAATAAGTTTATTCAACACGATATTTTCCCAATGGGAAAATAATTTAATTATATTCACCAGTTTTAAATTTAAAAATCAGGTATACTATAGTGAAGATTGCCACATGTGCACAGAAATAATAAGTCTAATAATTCTTACATAAGTATTAAAAATATTGGTTATGCCAAAATTAAAAAGTTTATAAAGTTTGATGAAAAATTCTACGCCGAAATAAGTGTTTTCAAACAAATTCCATACAAATTGAAGATGTTATAATTCCAAATGTATTTGAAATTAAACATATTTGTTTTCTAACAATTAATTTAAATGTAAGCTTAATGATTAAACAATGTCTATTTATGTCTTTTAACAAAGCCCTTATTTGTATTTTACCAAATAATATTGTTCAATAAACTTATTTCCTTTACAGGTTGTTTTTATTCAAATAATTCCTTTTAGAGTTATAAAGTTGTGTGTCGTGAACGGCTAACAACCAGTTAGTTAAAGCTCAGTAAAATTTGACAAAGCAGGTAAACTAAACTAAAGTATACACGAGAAAAAGGAAAACAAAAAGCGCGAATGAAACCAGACGTTTGCGTACGAAACATGACCGAAATGGACAAAGGAAATGCAGGCAAACCGAACGCGAAGGAAAGCAGAGGTTTCCAATTAAAAGCAGATGTTTGCAGATGTTCGCGGATAAAAGCAGATATTTGCGGATAAATGCAGATGTTTGCGGGTAAAAACAGATATTTGCGGATAAAAGCAGATGTTTGCGTATAAAATCAGATGTTTGCGGATAAAAGCAGATGTTTGCCGATAAAAGCAGATTTTTGCGGATAAAATCAGATGTTTGCAGATAAAAGCATGTTTGCGGGTGAAACCGTATGAAAGCAGATGTTCGCGGATAAAATGAGATGTTTGCGGATAAAAGCAAATGTTTGCGGATGAAAGCAGATTTTTGCGGATAAAAGCAGATGTTCGCGGATAAAATGAGATGTTTGCGGATAAAAGCAGATGTTCGCGGATGATTGTAGATGTTCGCGGATAAAATGAGATGTTCGCGGATGAAAGCAGATGTTCGCGGATGATTGCAGATGTTCGCGGATGAAAGCAGATGTTCGAGGATGATTTTAGATGTTTGCGGGTGAATGCGGGGGTGCACTAACCGGATGATATCAGGCGTTCGCAGATAAAAGCATGTTTGCGGGTGAAACCGTATGAAAGCAGACTTTCGCGGGTAAATGCAGATGTTCTCGGGTGATTGCAGATGTTCGCGGATAAAAGCAGTTGTTCGCGGGTGATTGCAGATGTTCGCGGATGAAAGCAGATGGTCGCGGATAAAAGCAGATGTTGGCGGATAAAAGTATATGTTGGCAAGTGAAATTGGACTAGGCAGACGTTTGCGGATTAAACCAGACGTTTGCAGATAAAACCAGACAAAAATAGACAAAAAAATGCAGGTAATCGCGGATAAAACCAGACGTAAGCAGACGTTTGCAGACGTTTGCAGATGATTCCGGACAAATTCAGATATAAACGAAAAACAGTGAAGACGGTTAAAAACAGATGATTGCGGGGGTGCACTAACCGGACATAAAACACAACTAACCGGGTGTTCGCGGATATAGCGATGCGGACAAAAGCAGATGTTATCAGATGATATTTTTACCCGCTTTTATCTGCTTTTATCCGGCTTTGATGAAGAATTTATACCCGCAATCATCTGCTTTTATCCGGTTTTGACGAAGAATTTATATCCGCAATCATCCGTCATTTTTAGCAGGGTAAGATAAAGTATCCCTTACTTTAAGTATCTAAGTTACTTTTAAGTATCTTTTTTTCAAGATACTCTACTTTTTTTCAAGATACTCCAAGCTCTGCCTACAGTATCGGCGGCTTAACACCATTTTTTTTAACATCCAGTGCATGCATGGTTGGCGAATGTTTTAGATCCATAATAGGGAGGCTTTAGTTTAAGCCAATAATAACCTCCGAGTCAGGAGAAACGAAACCATCATCACTTGTCGACATCATTTCGTACGAATCAATGCGGCGCAACGAGCGGCTGTCGAAATGCCGGGTTAAAATATTTCGCAGTTTAAACATTTTCTTGCAGAAAAATGTGTGTAAACTTTAGATAGATTGCTATTGACTCTGACAAAAATATATAGTTTCTCTAACAAGATACAGCGAATCTAAAAAAGGGCCACACGACAATTAGTCAAATAAATATATATATTTTGGCGTGGAAAAATCTACCGGAAATACCGCAATAATAAAACGAGAATTCCTCCAAAGTAGTAAGAAAAAGCGTTATTATGTGTGTACGAGCGCGGCCAATTCACTGGTTCACAGGATTGGTCAGCTTTCGTTAGTCGCACCCAGCTATATACTTTTTTAAATTGTAGAATATTAAAAGAGGTACAAAATGTTATTCATAATAATTTATTATAAAATATACCGTTTGTGAAATATTTCCATAAAAGTGAAAAAAAACAAAAAAACTAAATTTTTAATTTAACAAACTACATATTTTTACTTATTTTTATAAATGAAAAACATTTTATACAAAAATTATAGGAAATTTTAGTCTTGGACTGGAAGATTTCTTGTTTATTTTGATTCCATAACAACCCTTTTAAGATTTTTGTATAGGCATGTTAGGAAACATTTTTAAGCAATGCTTTTTAATGAAAGTCTTCCATATTTTTATCTTAAAATGAATGATGTTTAAACTGGACCACCTGTATATCTAGGTCTAGAAATATTGTTATGTTTATGAGTTTATGAGTTTAGGCAAAGTGGTTCTGAAAATTTTTTTGAATTCTATACGAGATCCCGGGATAGGTTTAAATTAAAAATAAATGACCAAACAGAGCTGCAACAAGTCAGTTTTAAAAAGACTTAAATCTTAAGTCTTAAGTCAATTCTAAAATCAAAATGATTTAAATCTTAAGTCAATTCTAAGATAAAGTTCAAATGATTTAAGTATTAAGTCTTTAAATTAAATCATTTTCTTTCAAGTCAAGTCATTTTCGCAAATTCTTAAATCAATATAAAGTGATTTAAGTCATCTTATGACTTAATTCCTTTAGTAAGTCGTTTTTATGACTTAAGTGTATATTTTTTATTTAAATCGTGATCTAAGAGTTAAGTCAATAAAATGACTTGAATCAAAAATTGTGATTTAAATCAAAATAATTACAATACAACGATTTTTTAAATGTTAATAATAATTTTATGGTATTAATGATACTGATATTATTAATCTATTGTAGATACAGATGATAATAAACCACTATGTTAAGAATTTAAAACGATTTATTTTCAGAACACTTACAAACAAAATAAAAACTTAAAACACATTTTTGAGTATATATTAGACAATAAAAATAAAAACTTAAACCACCTTTTTTAGTAGAGTAGACATACAGGGAGGCTACTTTTTTATATACATAAATGGGTAACTTCTATTTATAAACGGTAATAGATTTAAACTCTGTTAAAATAGATAAAAGTTTAAGCATTTTTCTTAAAATCGCTGTATTTCAAAAACTGATAACTTGTTGTTTTGTTAACTTTTGTTAGCTGGTTCAACATCCATCTAGAAAAAAAATATTCCTCCCTTAAGGAAGTAATGATGGGAAGTTCCAAACTCTCGATTCACGACCGCTCAGATTGTTTTCACTTTGCACTAATAATCACAAATTAGACATAACTACGCACGAACATGACGAATGTTGGCAAACAAAATAACAAAATTATAAATCCCCACTTTTTTTAATTTATTTTAGACAGGACACTTCTTAATGTAGCCGTCAAACGGTTTCAAAAAGCTAACTTTAACGCGGCGTTTTTTTATCCTCTAGCGGTAAAAATTGTAGGTAGGAAATTAAAGAAGTTTTTGAACTGCTGCCGCGTAAACCCCTGGCAGTTCAAAAGAAAATGCCGCTGTTAAAAATTTATAAAAAATATATGAAAAATCTGACTTAAATATTTTCTAAAAAGACTTAAATCTTTTTCAAAAAGACTTAAATCTTTTTTTGACTTAAATCGTTTCTATCTGACTTAAATCGTATGTACTGATTTATAAATGACTTAAGTTTTTTCTATTTTGAAAAAAATATTTAAGTCACAAATCATTTTGAAAATTACTTAAATTTTAAGTCTTAAGTCAGTTTTAGAGAAATGACTTATTACCAAATGACTTAAGTCATTAAAACGATTTAAATCAAAAAAACGATTTAAGTTTTCTGAGAGCTTGCAGCTCTGTGACCAAATAATGTTTATGTCCATAAGTGAAGATGTTTTTTATTTATGTTGTATGATATAACTTATATCATATCATATGAGGTTATCCTAAAGGAGAATCGTTTCTATTAAAATGTCACAAACTTTTTGTATTTTTATTTAAATCTAGTCAAACGATGTTTTTAAAAAAGAATCTTGTATTTGCATTTGAATGTTTCACTTAAAATAGCAGTTTATTTCAACAAATAAACACCATTTTAAATTAAACATCTAAAACCTTAACAAAAAGTGTTATTTATAACCTTTATGAGCTCTCTATAGTTACTATCATCAAAAGGTAATCTACCATAAACCATAGCAAAAAGTACTACACCCATAGACCATATGTCAGCATATTGGGGTTGATATGGGATTCCCCTTAATATTTCAGGTGACGCATACGCATAACTTCCGCAAAAAGTCTCGCTCAGTGGTAATTGACCATTTTTAGGCTTTAAGTGACCCCTTGCAAAACCAAAATCTGACAATTTAATATTCCATTCCACGTCCATTAACATATTTTCACATTTTATATCTCTGAAATAACACTTTAAAATTTCGCGAGAATTCAATTATTTAGTCCGTCTAAGTATGTCTTGTTTATTTTACCTGTGAACGACTCCGCGCTCGTGGCAATAATCCACCGCGTCCACAAGTTGCCGAAACCATTTTCTGGCCCTTATTTCGTCAATATACTGGTCTTTACGTATGATATCCAATAGGCTTCCATTTTTAGCATATTCCATTACAATATAGACCCTTTTAAAATAATTAATTAAACATAAGTAGGTAATCAAAAATGTATTAAAACCATATTCCATTACAATATAGACCCTTTTAAAATAATTAATTAAACTTAAGTAGGTAATCAAAAATGTATTAAAACCAAAAAAATATAGCTAAAAACTATGGTCGAAGTTTAAAGTAATACAAAAGACAAGATTGCATATTTAAGTAAAAAAAATATTTCCGCTTAAATTGTCAAAACTTTTTACCTGTGGGTTGTTTCAATAGCTTGCAAAAATCGTATAAGATTGGGATGCCTTAAACCCTTGACAACTTCGATTTCTCTGGGCAAAAATTTTTTCAAATAATCTGCAGGGGCTGAAAATTTACTGACTATTTTTATGGCTACATCAGAATCATGTCTATCGCTTCTAGCAACCTATAAAAATTATTGTTTATAAGTAAAGAATTCCTCTATAAAAACTTGTGGTACATACCTTAATTTTATGATGGTTTGAATCATACAAATGAGTAATATTATCCCCATACGTCTAGAACAAAAATTTAATTCAGACTCCAAAGAAAAGAAAGATTTGTACCAAAATTTTAACACTTTATTATTTTTTTTACTCACCCTGACCGTCGCATATGAGCCAGTACCAATGGTTTTTCCCAAAAAGTATCCATGTGTTTCTAAAACAGTGGGTTTCTTGTCTTTAAGGTCAAGCGCGATTGCTGCTGTAGTAACAGTAGCAGTGGCATTTGCTGAAGAGCCTGGATTGGACTTGTGAAGGCTTGAAACAGAAGTTGGCATGACTTTTCTTTTCTTAACATTTTACGAGAATTTTAACAAATAATTTTATCCATGACGTTTGATGATTAATGTGACATATAAAAATGAATGTACTATGTCAAATAATATAAATATTGTCAAATTTGACAGGGAATGTTTTTCTTGTAAATTTTTACCTTAAGATATTTTGTGTAGTTTTATACAGCCAATCGTACATTATATAGTGGGTAGTTCACAAAATGTATTAAAAAAATTATTTACTGGAAATTTTGGTTACATGGTTCTAATGAAAATATATTAAGAAAAGGCTAACTAATAGAATAATAAATAAAATAAACATGGTTTAGGGAATTATTATTTATTTATTAAAAACAATAATTATGTCCAAAGATAGATAATTAATTAAAATGTTTACACATTTTACAAGATCTTTTAAACTGGAGTATTGCATTATAAATAATTTATTTCATTAAAAAATCATACACATTAAAATAAAAAAGAAAACATCTTTGGCAATTTTTGATTCCAATGGCACAATAAGGAAATTTTGATCACAACTTTTAGCAACAAAAAATAACATGACCATCTTATTTCAGAAAAAGAATATTAAGTGTATAAAATTGTATATATTTTTTATAGTATTAGGCATAATAAGTTATAAAAGAAATATTTTATTTTATATTATATAAAAGAATTAATTTTTAGCAATAATTTACAATATTATACACAGTTTTATTATGTTATTTAGATTGGTTTATTAGTACCTAGACAATAAAATAACTGTACAATTATGTTACAAACGCGAATAACCTCGCGAATAACATTATAAAAGTTATTGCTTTTTACCGCTTCCAATATACAGGGTATTTTAATAAGTAATTGTGCATCGTAACTATCTTAAGTTAAATTTTGCATTAAAATTTTGATAAAAAAACTAAATTATTTAGTTCATATTTTTTATACAAATAAAATAATTAGTTAGATAATGCAACCCTTCTGTAACAGGATAGTTTACTTAACAATTAAAAATGTTATTTTATTTAATAATAATTATTGCATACACATATGTAAATGAATATATATAAATCATAAAAAAATCTTTAGAAATTAGAATGTCCAAGTTGACTAAAATATTATCGTCATTGTTGTATTTAATTTTAATAATTAAAACAAAAAAATTATGTAATTAATAACAATTTTAATTTGAAAAGTGGGTTTAACTAATTTAGGTTATAAATATAGGTTTTATAAGAGTAAAAAAATGACAGGCTTTATTTATAAAAATTACAAGACTTCCTAGGGTAATTTCATATCAAATCAACCAAAGGTTTCAAAGGCATCTTCGATTTTGATGAATTTTGGTACAGTTGCTCTTCCCATTGAAAAACTCGAAAAACCAAAATTTTTTTTGAACAGTATTTTTTCTTTTATGGATTTTAAAAAATCAAGATATTTACCAATTTGCTTCTGCAGGCTCTTTAAATAACAGGTATATCTCAGGAACTGCTCATCACAGAGAATTGAGTAATAGCTTGTTTTAAAGGTCTTTGTAAGCCCTTTCAGTTAATGTATTACATGATTTTATTAATGTTTTAGCTACTTATTTACCAAAATTCAGAATGGAGGAATGATGGATTAATTGTAATAATCTTTTTTAAATATCCTTACATAGCAAAAATAACGGTTTTATTTTAAAAATAGAACATGTATTATGAATATATTAACTTAAAGCTACAACGAAAATATATATAAGGTATAAAAATAAATTAAAAAAAAACTTTTTGTTTTAATTTTTTTAATAATTTTTGAAACTAAATTACAAATGGAAATTAGTTAGTTTTTTGTCTTTTTTAAGATTTTTTCCAAGTTTCCTCAATATTGAATCTTTACGAATTATAAAAATATTTGCCTTAGGTTTTGGATAATAAAAATAACTTGCTGGTACATTCGGATGTAAAAAACTAACTTTAATTTTCTTAGACTATTCATGAGCTCTTATAGTTAATGGTAACAAAACCAGATTTAATAAACCTTAATTCAGAATTCGTTATTTCAGCACATTTAACAAGGTCTTGAATATGTTGTTCCAAGCTGAGAGAAAAAAAGTTTAGTTACTATTCTGGATTCTGAAACTGGAATCAAAGCATTAATTGTTTGTGTCCCCGCGACAGTCTGCGCTTCAGCAAATCTTTTCTTAAAATAAGAAATAAATATCGCTAATAGCGATTCGCTATTGCAGAACTTAAAAGTGATTCCAGGAATGTTCTCTGTTGATCATAAGACCTTTGCAGGCTGGCTTTGCTGATAAACCTTTTTAATGTACCCCCCCAAACCGTCGCAGGCACTCTTGCCATATGTCCTGGCAAAAAAATGCCACTCTGCCTGAATTCCAAATTCTGTCTCTTGTCATGTCTCATAGATTAATAAAGTTTTTTTGTTTTTATATTGTGCTGCGTACCCATAAGGGAAATAAAAGATTTTGGAAAGATTAAGGATTTTTTTTTAATTCAGGGATAAAATGGCTTAAAAATAAATAAAATGCGACATGTTGCAGTATTATGAATTAGGCAATTCGAAAGAAAAACGTAGTTTAAATTGTCAGGTTGGCACAACTGAATCCAATGTATATAAGGCCGCGCACTGGAAATAAAAGCAAGTTACCACTTTACACTTGTAGTTTTATATACCAACCTCACATAAATATGTAATTTCATTTCTTTCGTTTTTAAAATAAATCACTAATGGGTGAAGGTACACCCATCAGGCCATGACCTGACTGTTAGTCAAGTGGTACGATTGTACCTCATCCTGAAGGACAAATGTACATCCTGAAGGACATTGTACATATTTGTTATATGCAGGATTTTTCTTAAATATACCAACCTAGAGGTGGCAGAAAAGGCTGGAATTTTTATAAACAAGAGAAAAGAGGTGTCTCAATCATAGCATAAATAAATTTTGGTAAAAGATTGAATTTTATGGTCCAAATACTAAAATTCCCTAAAATATTTTTGGTTTCTAAGGTTTTAATTTTTTTAAATTGAACTTTTCATTTCTCCATTGTGAAATCTGGTAATTATCATACTTAAACATAAATAAAAAGAATATATTTTTTTGAAAAAAAATATGGTGTTTTTGAGAAATTTACAAAAATTTCCATTTTTTTAAATAAAAAGTATATCATGAGATAACTTATCTGAAAGGGCTTCAAAAGACCTTTAACATAAACTATTACTCAATGCTCTGTAATAAGCAGTTCCTGAGATATATCTGTTGTTTTAAGAGCCTGCAGAGGCAAAATTGGTGAATTGAAAATATTGAAAACAAAATTTACCTTTTTTTTTGGTTGATTTGATATGAAATTACCCCCTACTATTATTTTACACCACGAAAAATTATCCCTTTCAAATTTCTGATGCAATATTAAAATACCCTGCTTAAGTGTATATGTGTACTATACAATCTTATTCTTTACCTAAATTAAAGGCACTGAAAGTATAATATTAAAAATAGCCTTCAATCAACGGAAGTTCCGGACATTGCCGAAGAAGCGATACTGCAGGAGAATTAACGTCGATTGCTAACGTGATACCCGACTTGTAGTCTGCTGGAATTTTTATGTGTGACGTCACTGTTGACCCTAACCTCACTTCTCGCCGACTTTCTCGTATTAAATTGGCTACTTGACCTAAAACAACATGGTTTAATTATTTTGTATTCCAAACAAGCTTTAATATTAAGGTAAATTTAAGTACCATTTTGTATAACAATACATCTCTTTTAAGAATACTAAAAAGAGGAGTAACTTGCTAGGTAGCGGCACACCAGAAAACGTAAGGATGCGGTACTTTAATTTAAATAACAAAATATATTGTAATTGGGTAGGTAAATTTATAAACCCTTTAAATTTTACTATAAACTAATTAATCCAATGTTTATAAAAAATACACTTCAATCAATATTTTATTATAAACAAAATACTTATTTTATTATTTTTACAAATGAAAAAAAAAACAATAATTGTTAATATTTTCGTAATATATTATTATTAATAATAATAAATAACCAGGTATTTACAAACAATTAAAATACATTATTTTATAAGTAAATGACAGTATTTATAAACTTTTAATGGCCGACAATAAATATTTTTCTTTAGTTCTTTAAAAGTAGTTTTTCTACTTTATAATTAAGTTTTGTTCCACCTTAATTTAGTAACTGTTTCTACAAAATGTTACTTATAATATTAATTATTCAATTAATTAACTAGATACCCTTGTGAAAATTTTCCTCTGAAAAAAGTTCAAGTAAAAATTGGAGTTATATTATAATATAAGTCTTACTTTCTTTTAAAAACTTAAAATAAGACTTATCAAGTCAGAAAAACTAAGTAAGTTAGACTAATAGAAATACTGGGAGTCTTCTGGAAGTTATTCTGACTTTCAGCAGAGAAATGGTACCTATCGCGATAAAAATAAATATTCGGAATTATTGTTGTATTTGGTTATTGTATTTATTAACATTTTTTCTGTGTTGTACAACGTTTTAGGAAAAGTTTATTGCTTTTAATCACAATAACACAGTCGAAACATAAGCATAATTTTTAAATTTGCGATTAGCGACAAAATGAGCGATTTTATATCATTAAATGACGTAATTTGTTTTTGTTTTTAAATTTGCTGTTTTTACTAGTGATTTAATTAAATTTAATTTAAAAAAAAAATGGTGCAAATGTTCCTATATTCACCAATCAGGTTTTATAAACCCTCGTTTATCTTGGAGAGATTTTTTGAATGGAGTAAAGTTATAAAATGTTTTATGTATGTATGTTTAAAAAGTTTTTTTCGATAATAAAATGTGTGATTTTCACTTTTATCGACGATATATTGTTTCATGAAGTTGTCAATTGGCGACTTTTTGTTGGTAATTCAGGCGACTTGTAAAAATGGAAACACTGCTTATAGATTAATCTAGGTCAGTACCTACCATAAAGAAACCAAAAAAAGCGCTCAAATGCATTGTTGTAGTAAGTACATACATAACTGGGTAAACTAATGGTAACATTAGTATAGGTATAGAACCTGGTTTACTGGAAACTTTATAAAATTTTATGCATACAGATACTTCAGATTTAAAAATTGATATTACATTAAAAAGGTAATAACAATTTTTAAATCAAAGCAAATTTATGATTTATATTTTTCAGACAAAATAATAAAATTAAACTGTATATTCAGCTCCCTTTAAATGTTAAAGTTACAATTGTTACAATTGTTGACAACATTCGAGCGCCAATTTTTTATATCAAAAAATATTTGAAATTATAATTGTTCTATATAGGTAAACATGTTTAATATATTCTAGTATTATTTACAAATTAAAAAAAATCATTCTGAAAATGGGGCACGACAGGGGACTGTGATTTCAGATGTTTAAATGCGTTTGATTGTAAATTACAAAATTATGTTACTATATGAGCTATGGCTTGCCAAGAATAGGTAGCAGTAAAAATAACACCAATTATATACAATTTGCCTGGGACCTTAATTTGCTAAATAGTAGAGAAATACCCATATTTATACAGGCAGTACACTTGTATTTATAATTATTTATGTTTAAACATTTCTGACATGTCACACATTATATGGCAACCAATGGTTACTAACCATAGCAAAACTACACACTGAAGTTAAGTAACTTGCCTTGCAAATATATCGATATTAGGGTGGACCAAAAAAACTTTTAATTTTCTTTTCTTTAGCTAACATGAAAATATCGTCCAAGATGAAAAAAAAATTCTGATAAAGTTTGAGCTCTTAATATCCATATTAAGAGGTGGCTCATCGCGATTTTTTATTTTCCATTTAAATAACAAGGGAAAAATACATTTTTTTGTTTGGAATTTTATTTCGTTTTAACGAATCAGTGAGTTGTAGAAATCAATACATATTCTTGTAGGGAATTGAACGATCTACAAAAAAGATCTGATATGATTTTTTGCATAGTCGACTCTTTTAAAAGTTATTTAAGGTTAAAGTTAAACTTCAAATAGTAAATGATGACTTTTATAGTTTTTCATACTCTATCACGAAATATTGTATCAAAAACACGAAATATCATATTTTTTGTGAAGTTTATCGAGTGTTCTTCTGTAAAACAATACAATTTTTACGAAATATCAATAATCGTGAAAAAACCGGTTTTTTACTTTATTTAATTTTTTTTAATTCGAAATTTTTTCTTTACCTGAGTAATGACAAAAAAATTAATCATTTTCTTAAAAAATAATAAATATTCTATTGACTATTAGGTAATGTAGAGTAATAAAAGCCATGTTTCAATAATTTTTCAATATCTTAGAATCAAACTAAATTTTTCTTGTTTCAATTGGGATATTTTTGCCGGTGGTTTTTAATTACTCGCAATAAGTATAAAATATACATACATAAACATATACATAAACATATACATAATAAAAATTTAATATTTACCCAGTTTATCAATAAGAATGTAGAATTTTGGATACAGGATAAAAGCTATCAAGATAATCTAGTATTTTTAAACGTCTTAGCGTTCTTAATGATGTAGCAGAAAAAAGAGTTGCATTAATAGAAGACTACAACGAATGTTTCATTCTAAGATAGTGAAAAAAGTACAAGTTATGGAATAACTTTTTTTATTTTAATTGATAAATTATTGAAACATATGCCATATGGCTTTTATTACCTAATAGTCAAGTGTAAATAGAATATTTATTTTTTGAGAAAATGATTAACTTTTTTGTCATTACTTATGTAAAGAAAAAAATTTGAAAAAATTGAACCTACACCTCGCCAAAGTTTTTTGTTTTGAATGCGTTCCACCAACTTCAAATACCGACAGACAGCTGTTTCGACCTTTATTGGGTCTCATCAGTGTCGGGCAACTTGGTGTAGTGGAACACAATCAAAACAAATTACTCCCTGAGCCTATATGCTCAGTTGTTAAGTCAACAGAGGCGAGATGTTAGAACATCAGGTGATCCACACCGTCAAACGACGTGGCCTTTGCCGCAATCGGTACATACTATGCAACCGGGACTGCACACAGCAATTGTATCACAGATACTAATATGGCCTAAAGGAATCTAGAATTAACCCAACCGGGCTAAACTTTAAGGTAAACATTCAATTTTCTTAGTTTCTTAAAGAAACTAAGAAAATTGAATGTTTACATAAAAAAATTTGATTTAAAAAAAAACGAGTTTTTCACGATTATCGATATTTCTTAACAATTGTATTGTTTTACCGAAGAACACTCGATATACTTCACGAAAAATACGATATTTCATGTTTTTGAGCCAATATTTCGTAAAAGAGTATGAAAAACTATAAAAGTCATCATTTACTATTTGAGGTTGAAATTTAACCTCAAATAACTTTTAAACGAGTCGACTAAGCAAAAAATCATATCAGATCTTTTTTGTAGATCGTTCAATTCCCCACAAGAATATGTATTGATTTCTACAACTCACTGATTCGTTAAAACGCAATAAAATTACAAACAAAAATTTGTTTTTCCCGTGTTATTAAAATGGAAAATAAAAATCGCGATGAATTTTCTTGGACGATATTTTCATGGTAACTAAAGAAAAAAAATTTAAAAGTTTTTTTGGCCCTCCCTAATAGATCTCTATGGTTATGTTACCATTAGTTTAGCCAGTTATGTATATATGGCGGCGCTTTGAACGCTGTACTTACTACAACAATGCATTTGACCACTCTCTTTTAATTTCTCTATGGTAAGTACCTTTACATTGCAAAAAATTATAATTGTTATAGTTATTACACCTTATGTAATTAATAAGTATGTACACCCAAAAATAATTATTATTATTATCTTTTTGTACACCAACCAAACGTATGTCTCAACTGTTTTATTGTTATAAATTGAAATAAACTTGGCTCACCTACATAATATATATATATTATATATATATTATATATATATTATATATATATTATATATAAAGGGTTTTTCATTTAGAGCGTCAGAACTTTTAAATGAGATAAAAAAATAACTACATGTTATAATCCAGTAGGTAATCTATATTTTATTTTGAAGAACGATCGATGACATTATGTTTTAAATATAATATCGTTTAAATGTCCCCCTCGACTTTGCCTGACTGAATGCATTCTGAAGGCCTAATTTTCTACTATTCTTTTACAAATATCGCGTGGTATACTTTGAATAGTGCGTTTAATGTTTCGTTTAAGGTCGAGAATTGTTCGTGGCTTATTTTTGTAAACCTGAGATTTCACATGATCCTTTAGATGCACAAAAGTTGACTTATTTGCCATTAAACCAGTTTTTTCTTAAACGATAAACCTTATATTTCTCGCAACTTGCATAAATCTTATACCAAAATAAGTAACAAATTTGATTAATTCATTTTGACACTTTTTAATATTGTTTGTTGTCATGATGATTAAAAATTAATGTCTAAAATCAATTTTGACATAAATAAATGATTTTTTAAATTTTAATGATATAAGAAAAAAACCTAACTCGCTAATTAATAAATATGCAACAAAAATGTTTTTTTTTGTAAAAAGTAAAATTTTCCAAATACACATTTCTTGTATATTGTTGCAGGTCTATTTGTAAGCGATATATTAAGTTTTTCTTGTCATTAAAATTAAAAAG